ATGGGTATTCTGATCTCATCTTTGATTCCAATTCTCATGTTGCTTCCGGTCCTTTGTGAAACTTCCACTGAATTTTCACCAGACTTATTTCTTTGTTTCTCAACAACCTGATATTTCGGTCAATTACAGCTTCTGGTGTTTCCACAAATTTCAGCTTACTGTCTAATTGAATTTCTGGCAACGGTATAGCTAAACTCGGACTAGCCAAACATTTTCGCAGATTTGACACATGAAAAGTGTTGTGAATTAGATTCAGCTCTTCTGGCAGCTCTAACTGATATGCTACTGGTCCAATTCGCTTACATATTCTGAACGACCCCACATACCTTGGATTGAGCTTTCCTTTCTTTCCAAATCTGATAACACCCTTCCATGGTGAAACTTTTAACATTACAAAATCACCTATATCGAACTCAATTGACTTTCGACGATTATCTGCATAACTTTTCTGGCGATCTTGTGCTATTTTGATTCTTTCACGGATCTATTCAATCTTTTCAGAAGTTTCTTGGACAATTTCAGGACCTGTCAGTTGTTTTTCACCCACTTCATTCCAACATAACGGCGTTCGGTATTTGCGTCCATACAACACTTCATATGGTGCCGCTTGGATACTGGAATGGTAACTATTGTTATACGCAAACTCTATTAATGGCAAGTGATCTTTCCATGATCCCCCGAAATCAATAATACAACTTCTTAACATATCTTCGAGAGTTTGAATAGTTCTTTCACTCTGTCCATCAGTCTGCGGATGATAAGCTGTACTTAATCGGATTTCAGATCCCAAAGCTTTCTGTAATCCTCCCCAGAACTTTGAAGTAAATCGACTATCTCTATCAGAGATAATAGACAAGGGAACACCGTGTCTGGTAACAATTTCTTTGATGTAAATCTGTGCTAGCTTTTCTAAAGAGTATTTCTCTCTTATTGGTAGAAAATGAGCAGATTTAGACAAACGATCCACAACTACCCAAATTGCATCATACCCCTTTGGAGTTCGTGGTAACTTCATAACAAAATCCATGGTGATGTGATCCCATTTCCATACAGGTATTTCCAAAGATTGAAGGCTTTCCATAAGGCTTCTGATGTTCAATCTTGACCTGTAAATATGTCAGACACTGTTCCACATACCGAGCTATATCTCTTTTCAATCCTGGCCACCAATAAAAGGTTTTAAATCTCGATACATCTTATTGGTGCCTGGATGGATAGAGTATCGGGATTTATGGCTTTCATTTAATATCATACTTCGGATATCTCCAAAATATGGTACCCAAATTCGCCCTTGAAAGCACATTAGTCCTTCATCATTCTGTTCCAAGGTTGAGATCATCTTACCCAACTTTTCTGTTTTAACAACTTTTTCTTTCACAGCTTCTTGTTGGCACTTCTGAATTTCCTTATGAATATCAGGAATCAAATTCATTCTCATTGCTACAGTTTTAATGGTTCCACTCTTTTCCTTTCTTCTCAAAGCATCAGCTACCACGTTAGTTTTTCCTGGGTGATAAAGAATCTCACAATCATAATCATTAACTAACTCAATCCACCGACACTGTCGCATATTTAAATCTTTCTGGTTGAACAAATGTTGTAGACTTTTATGGTCAGTATAAATCTGACATTTCGTTCCCAGAAGATAGTGTCTCCAGATTTTCAGAGCAAATACTACTGCAGCTAACTCCATGTCATGAGTTGGATACTGTTTCTCATGCTCTTTCAATTGTCTTGACGCATAAGAAATCACTTTTCCTCTTTGCATTAGAGCACATCCCAACCCTAACTTTGAAGCATCACTGTATACCACAAAGTCTTCGGATCCATCTGGTAGAGTCAATATTGGTGCGCTACAAAGATGATCTTTTAATAATTGAAAGGCTTCTTGTTGTTCTTTTTCCCACTGAAACTTGACATTCTTTCGAATCAATTTGGTTAATGGCACATCTATTTTTGAAAAGTCCTGAATAAACTTACGGTAATAACCTGCCAAACCCAAAAAGCTACGAACTTCAGACGGAGTCTTTG